CAATATTTCCGTTAGAAAAGACATTTCTTTCCCAACAACACACAAAATATTTTCACTAAATCGATATAACAGTTAATGATTATTCATTAGGTTCAACGTAAAGTAGAGGTTCTGCGACGTTTTCATCAAATTAATGTAAAACTGTTTTACACGCTGTTTACTTTTATTTTTGATAACTATAAGTTTTACATATTTAATGTTATATATTAATAAATGATCACAAAAGTAAAAGTAAAAGATATACATACTCATATATTTATTATAGATAAACTTTACATATTTATTGAAGTGAAAACTTCTTTAGCATCGTTGTGATTTGAAAATCGATGAAACGAAAAAACGACAGTAAATCGAGACAAACGTATATACCTATTTAGGTTTTAGTCTGCGTGAGAATGAGAGTAAGCAAAAGTAGCCTAATGACAGGGTGCGGACCGTGAATTCAAAAGGTTGTAGGTTATTTTTAAGCTTATCTTTGTGCAGTGCGATGCTTTAAAGATAGTTAATATACATTTTAACTGTTAAAATAAACAGCTAAAAATTAACAAATTTAATAAATAAATAAAATTAGCCATAGTGAATAGACTTCGGTTTAAAGAAATTTATTTCTCATAAGAACATACAATGGTTCACTTATAATGAGATACAAAGTAATTATTATACTAAAGTAAAACTATCGCATCTACCTCTAGTACTGGAGGCGTTATAGTTTAAGCTTATTTACTATGAGATATAAGATTAAGATTATTTACTATGAGGTATACATATGAGATACCACATATTCGGGAAAGATTAAACTGTACGTACGTATTTCCTAAGTTTATTTTTAAACAATTTCATGTTATTGTAACTTTTTATATCATCTGGTAGTTTATTGAACAGCTGTGCTCCCTCAAACAACAGGCTTTTTTGCCATAATTAGTTCGTGCAGTTATTAATTGTAGTTTATTTTTACTTCTTAAGTTGTGTGTTGTTGTTCTTTTATGTAATTGTAAATGTAATATTTTTATTAGAGTGCAAGTGTAATAAATATATAGTTGTGTAAGGTTTAGCAAGTTAGTTTTTTCGTATAGTACTTTTGTTGGAGTTAGACAATGATAGTGGAATAATGTTTTGATAATTTTATTTTTTGTCCTTTGAAGTGGATTTAGATTTGTTTTAGCGGCTGATCTCCATATCTCAATTAGATATTCGATATGTGATTTAACTAATGAGTCGTATGTGATTGTACGAACCTTTTCCGGGATACAGTTTGCGACTTTACGTAGTACACTTAGTAATGACGTCAGTTTTGATTTGACGTTATCGATATGCATTCTCTAAGTGAGTTTATCATCTACAAATAGACCTAGATATTTTTCGATATTTTTCCTGAGTTGAACGTTTTATTATTTTATCTTCAATAGTAAGGTGCGCAAACTCTGGTAAAGGTTTATTCTTTGTAGAAAAAATCACGAAAGATGTTACTTTTTTAAACTTATCTTAATCAATCCCTTCATTACAATCGACGATTTCGTAACTTACCAATGTATATTAAATTATTCGTGTTTATATCATCTAACGCATATATGCGTAAATTGATTAACTGTCAAAGTGGTACATAAGATATATCTTATGTACGTAGACAGAGAAACCTATAGACTAATGATTAGCGTGGCCTCGAGTGAGAAATGACGATAACGTAGTTTTAGGTTATACAATAATCTTTATGATTTTTAAACATATTTAGCCCTTTCAGAACGGCTTGTACTAATCGTGCGTTGATGTTTAAAAAATTGTACTGATTACTGAATTTTATTTTACCGCGCGGAAACGACTTCGATCGTTTGTGCATTGATTTCGTTTTATAATGTGGAGAGTTGCGTGGGAGTAAACCATATTAGTGGCGAGTCGTGACGTATTCAAGAGGGACGTTCACTTTGTGGATCGCGACGGTCGACGTGAGTAAATTATTTTTCATTATTACTTATCATATTTATTATTTTTCATATCAAAATAGCTAATGTTGATATTTACGTTCATTAATATTAAATAATCGTAGTAAATTTATAAGTTTTAACTGTCGTTTCCGGCCCGCGAAATTTAAACGCACGATGCGTTGCCGTTTTTAATTGTTTTCCGTTAGTTAAATGTTCATACCAATAACCTCGCATTTTTTTCTCAGAACAACCTCTAAACTACGAGTTGTTACAAAATGTGCTTAGAGATGGGTGTCAATCAGACCTGGACATATAGGATAAGGAGACAGAATCGGCTGTCAATGTGCCTCGACTACTAGATGATGAAGGTGATATACCCCCAGAGATTTCACCAGGTAACCATAACAGCGACAGTGACTCATATCAAAATATGACTTTGACATAGCTGCAGTATATAAATCAGGAGAACTTTCCCCCACCTGCAAACTCCTGCCACCTCGAAATGCCTAATTGTCGTCAGGCACAAAAGAGACCTAGAATCTGGAAAGCTGTTACATTTTTCTGATGTCGAGCATAATTTTCGTTATCGACCGGAACCCTCCGAAACTAAAACTCCGCTGCAATATCTTTCTACATATTTCAATGAAGATTTTTTCAAAACTACCGCACAATGCACAATTTTGTACTACCTGCGTAAAACTGGGTCAGTCGTGAGCACAACTTCTCAAGAGATGCGCAAATTATTTGGTATACTTTTATTCATGCGCTGTATACCATACCCACGAATTAATATTATGTACTAACGTACAGGTATGCACCTGGAATTAATCATAAGTCAAATGCCAGAAGACCATTATTTCTTATTATGGAATAACATGCACGTAGTACCCATAGATGAACCACCTTCAGGAAATTCAAATCCGCTATGGAAGGTACAGCCCGTTCTTGACGCTGTTAAGAAGGCTTGCTTGTCTCTCAAAAGTATGGCAGGTACATACTCAATCGATGAACATATTATACCTTACACAGGGAAATGTAAATTGTGAGATCATTAGTAAAGAATAAACCGAGACCACTCGGATTAAAAAATTACATCGTTACAACAAGTGACGGGTTAATTTTAGTTCAGTTCGGTTTTATTTACTATACTACCATTTAAGTATTGATTTTTTGTTGTCTAGAATGACTTTTTATTTTGACGATAATAGTACTTAAGATAATAATTAATATGATTTTTTTTTCGTTATATAAAAGAGACTGATTTATGTAGACTAAGCAGTAATTTATGTGAAAAAATAGCAAAAATTCGTTGAAATGGAAGTTAATATCAAAATACTGTGTTATTAAAAGTAATACTTTCTTTAATAATAATTAAATAAATATATTAGGAACCATTTTTTACGGTTTTATTCCCTATGCGTTAGCACACTTAAAAACGAGAGCGCACGTACGTGCGGGGGGCTACAGTGAAATTTAAAGAGGGGGGGATTTTTTCTATTATTTTTTCTAAATATTTTAGCCATTGTATATCTAGAATTTAATGTAAAATTTTTGAGAAGCAGGATTATTTTTTGTCGTTCTGAAAGGGTTAGATCATTTTTTTAATTGTTCTAAGAACTGAACTGAACAAGATTCACCAATCTTAAGCTCACAAAACACTTTTTTTCTCACTTAAACCAACTTGTAAACTCCTTAGATCGCTAAGAACTGTCAAAGTTGTTTAGCAAAGTGTAGTTTGCGAAACAAAAAAACCGGCACGGAGAAAGGGACAATCAATCACACCGCTCTGTCTCATTTCTATGCAAGACGTATGCATAAATCTATCCTTTTCGTGTGCGAATGCGAAAGAAGGCGTCAATTTGTCTATAGGTTTCTCTGTCTACGCTTATGTACCACTTTGACAGTTAATATATGACATTTTAATTAATAAGGCACTATTACAAATAATAGTTTAATTAATATACTAGATACACTAGTGGATAAATTATGATAACGTTAAAATAGTAGTAGTATATCGAAAAAGAAGAGAGCAAAAGTGATAATATTATATTATATATACATATAATATACTTGCGTGCGTTGAGTCGTCGGTCGTTGGTTGTCTTAAGCCTATTTTATTAACAATTTGAATTCTGTGAACATACGTTGAATTTATTGAGTAGGTGTAGTTAGATATATAAGTATTTCGTTTTTCGTAAATTGTTATAGCGTAAAAACGCATCGACCACGTTTATGGTTTTAGTACAATGTGTTTAGCTAGAAATTTGAACTTATATACTTACCTAGGTATTTATTACAAATCAAATTGTACATTCGTTCGTTGCAATGTTTACATAGGTATATAATAGAAACAAACTTATTTAATCAATATGGATTATAAATAATACTTATTGAAAGCCACTTATTGAAGTGAAAAATGTACCATTTTGAGAGTTAATCAATTTTTGTTTGATAAAATGACTAAAATAGAATAAAGTAGATGGCGCTATTACAAAGCAATTTTATTTGAAAGGAAACTAAAATCATAGTCTAAAAATAATGATTGTTACATCTACTTGCTATAAAATGAAACTTTTATCTTATATTTTAGCCTATTTGGTTGAAAACGATCATATTAAATAAATGCTTTGCTGTAAAATATTTTTATTTTATATTTCATTTCATTTGAAGGTTTCACTTCCTCCGCGTGTAAACTGCACACATGTTTTTTTTTTTCATATACTTATCAAGTATTATAGAAATATTATTATGGCTAAATGTCTGATAACTTTTTTGTCACGATGATCTACCTACCCCTTTGACTGGTTTCGACGATGTTGATGCTGCTAGCCTCTCACAACTTTATATGTCTCAGACTTTTTGTGCCGCGGATACTTACACCTTTCAGCACTTTCTAATATTTTTACGATCCATAGACAAAAAAATATTTATACGATCCATAGACAAAAAAATGCAATAAAAGTCGGCAACGAAAATGCACAAAAGTCTAACAATGTCTATTCTTGTCTATTCCTCTTTCCTTTTCGTGCGGCCGTGTCACCGCGTGGTTCACAGCCGCGTTTCTCAAAAGAAACAATCAAAATGGCTATCAGACCTGTGTACAGACCTACAATCGTCAAAAAGAGGACGAAACGGTTTATCAGACATCAATCTGATCGCTATGACAAACTTAAACGCAACTGGCGCAAACCTAGAGGTAAGTTTCGACAATATTCCTACCCTAAGGTGTAACCACACGTTTTTCATTTTTAACTCAGTGGTTTGAACAGTTTTATATCCATGTTTACCTTAATGTTGTTTATTATGTGAAATTAGAGGAAATTTTAGCATTAGCTTCATGATTAAGCTCATTTGTAGAGATATAGGTTATATCAATCTTATTTCTTTCAGATAAGGTCGAAGAGGTTATTTTTGTTATATATTTTATTTTCACGTTCTGTTTTGTGTTGCAAGGGCACTCTGTGTTATTCATTCTTAATATGATACTCACAATTTGTTACCTTGCTAGAGCACTACCACCGAACTCTATTCCAGATTACTTACTAGTGTATAATTTGGTCATATTGGTGGTGACATTACCATTACATTGCTTTTCTAAATATTTTCAGTGTTATTTAGCGCTAAATTATCTGTACAATTAAACAATGGTCCTATTAGAGATCCACCTAAATATCACATGGCACATTGCTTTTATTAATATATAGAAGTGTTTTTTATTATTCATACTTCATATGCACCTGCACAACCATTTTATATATTTTGAAATAGCCTTATAACACATATTTGAGAAGAATACTTCATTTTAGTAAAGTTACTAGATGCAAAATTGAAAAGCCCTGACAACCCGATTCCCATAGAAAAGTCCTGAAATTTTGTTGCAAAGGTAATTAAAAACCGAGAAAAAAGAAAAAAAATTATAAATTGTTATATTTGTAAATCAAATTGTAACATGGTTATAAAAAGACTAGAGTTTTCTATGTTCGTGTTTCAAAAGGTCTTGATTTAGCGAGGAAAATATATATTTTTGACATTATGCATATATATTGTATACAATGTTTTTTTTTAACGTTTTCTATTGTGGTTATGTCACAATAATTCTGCCAATGTCCAGTCTTCGGTTTGTCACATTTATTATGTACCATATATGAACTATAAATAAGCCTAAATCTTTATGTATAAAACTTATGTGTCACATTGTTTGTAATGAACAAACTTCTGAACTGATTTCAATGAAACTTTGCACTAGTGTGCAGTTTGGGCCAATTTGAGATAGGATAGTTTTTATCTCACTATGTGATTGTCAATATTTTTACTGAGAATATATATTTTTATAATTTTAAGTGTCATCAGAATGCGTAGAATGTCTGCCTGGCCAGCTAATTAAATATAAAGTTTTGGTGGGACCACACTCTCACAGAATACCAGCATAAAATAGCAGCTTAATGATGCTGTTTCATATGATGAGTGTAAAGAGAACTGGAGACCCTTTTTACTGGAAATGAGGCATTCCATCTTAGTCCTCAGGTGTGACAACTTATTGCATTTTGATTCTTAATTATGGAAAAATTGATGATTTAGAATTAAAATACAGCTTAATGCTGCAGTGTTTCTTAGCCCTTTAGAAAGGAGTAAGCTCTTTTCTTGAAGGTCCCCTGGTCGTATCGGTCTGTAAAAATCGCCGGTGGTAAACTATTCCACAGAGTTATGCTCATTACCACTTCAAATTATACGTGGTAGAGCCATGCTGCAGTTATATTAGTAGTATAGTTGTAGCATGAATGGGTCGGCTCGACCGGGGAAGGACCACGCTCTCACATAATACCAGCGTGAAATAGTAGCTTAATGCTGCTGTATTTTGTATGGTGAGTGTAGAGAACCGGAGACCCTTTTTACTGGAAACGAGGCATTCCATCTCAGTCCTCACGGGTGACAACGCATCTGCATTTTGATTTTAATGGAGGATAGATGTAGATGTCTATGGGCCGCAGCAACCACTTACCGTCAGGTGGACTGTGTGCTCGTTTGTCACCCTATTCTATAAAAAAAAACTTACTAATTAATTCCTACATATTAGGGCTATGTTGGTTATTCGGGTTATAAAGGTACATTTAAATTAATTTGGTTTCCCTAAAAACAACAATTTCTAAATGCAAAATTAAAAGTATACGAACTGAATTATTTATTTTCCCTGATGTCAATCTTCAGGTATTGACAACAGAGTACGCAGGCGCTTCAAGGGACAGTACTTGATGCCCAGCATTGGTTATGGATCAAACAAGAAGACCCGTCACATGCTCCCCAATGGTTTCCGTAAGGTTAGTAAAAAGTTATATATAAAGTACATTTACTGTTACTGTTAAACTCCTCTTTCCCTCATAGATAAAGTACACTACTTGAAACTAAAGTTATTAATAACTTTGTCAACACTTAACTAATTTTAGTTTGAATTGAAAATTGAAAATGTAACATAAATACAAGAAAAGATTGAGGTGCATTTTTTATTTATGGATTAATGAAAGGATAAATCCCATGTAATGGCAGTGTAATGATATCCACCACCCCATATCATCCCATAGGTGTCAGAATATAATAAGTGGCAGTACCTTCCTAATAAGGGCATTGCTAAGCATAGCAAATATGACTAATATTCCCCGATATGAGGCAATCTATGGACGAGGCCTATGTTCAGCAGAGAACTTTGATGTATTGTTACGGTAACTGTAATAAAAGAATAAAATTACTTTAAACATCTATTACTGTTATTTAATTATGGAACAAATTGGTTTTCTTACAAACAACCATCAGCAAGGGCACTCTGTGTATTTCATCTTAATATGATATTCACAATTTGTTACCTTGCAAGATAAATTATATCAATACCTATTCCAAGCTACATACACATTTTGTAGTTTGGTCACAGTGGTAGAAACAAGTATTATCTAATACATTTTATCTAATTATGTATTATGGTTGTAGCATGAATGAGTCAGTACAACTGGGATAGGACCATGCTCTTACAGAATACTAATGTAAAATATCAGCTTAATGCTGCTTTGTTTCATATGGTGAGTGTAGAGTAATGAATAACGGATAACAATTTTACTGGAAATGAGGCATTCCATCTTAGTTCTCAGGGGTGACTATACATCTGAATTTTTTTTACATAAAAAAAATACTAACAATGCTAATAATCCCCTTAACCACTTGTGGTAAGCTTAAATTGCTTGTGTTATAAGTGGTTCATGCTAGTAGTCTAATGGCGGATTCGAACCCACAACCTTTTTGAGTTAGCAGTCCACACCCTGCCATTAGGCTACTGTCGCTTCAAAATTTTGATTCTTAATCACGGATAAATGTAGATTTCTATGAGATGCTACTGTTGTGCCCATTTGTTACCCTTACTATATAAAAGAAAGTAGAACAGATAGAATATTTGAAATATTTTCAAATGTAATTCCACTTCCATTGTAACTTTGTAATTCCATTTCCATTTTTACATGTTAGGGCCATTCTGCAGTTATATTAGTAGTATAGTTGTAGCACAAATGGGTCAGCTCGACCGAGGAAGGACCAAGCTCTCACAGAATACCAGTGTAAAATAGTAGCTGAATGCTGCTATGTTTTGTATAGTGAGTGGAGAACTGGAGATCCTTTTTTACTGGAAATGAGGCATTCCATCTTGGTCCTCACGGGTGACAATGCATCTGCATTTTGATTCATCAATCGAGGATAGATGTAGATGTCTATGGGGCACAGCAACCACTTACCGTCAGGTGGACTGTATGCTCGTTTAGCACCTTATCCTATATATAAAAAAAAGTTACAGCCTATACAATACATGAAAGAAAATCCGTAAGGGTTCCTATAGGTACTGTGATATAATTCTGCTTATGTAAACCTTTTCAGATAATAAATAAAAAAATATTCTTGCAAAATGATTTCTTATATTTACGCGAACACTATACATGATTAAAACTACTTTTACGGATTTTATCGCGTTTATTTTTACTTTTTATTTACTTTTATTTTTAATTCCCGTCGTTTCGGGCGCTTTCCAGCACCTTTGTCACGGGGGACTTCCATGTGACCCCCGGGAGTCCCCCGTATAAAATCCGTAAAAGTAGTTTTAATCATGTATTCCTGCAAAATTAACGAGCGCGCGTGCGCAAGTGTTGCAGCGCCTTTCGGGAACTTATAATTTATTTATTTTAGGAAGGCTTAGACTAACATCTTCGTAAAGTAATAATATGGTGATTAGAATTGCTAATTATAAGCCTCCACATATTGCTTTCATCTGACTTTATGCAAATTTAAAATACTATAACAAAATAATGCATAGGGAATGGTTAGCATTAATGGGAACATAGTATTACTATATTTACTTTTGCATTTTCAGGTCCTGGTCCACAATGTCCGCGAGCTGGAGATCCTCATGATGCAGAACAGGAAGTTCTGCGCAGAGATCGCCCACGGAGTCTCCTCCAAGAAGCGAAAGAGCATTGTGGAACGTGCGCAACAACTAAGCATCAGGGTCACCAACGCAGCAGCCCGTCTCCGCAGTCAGGAGAACGAATAAACTTAAGATTAATAAAGTTATATAAATTTTTCGTTTGTTTCTCTCATTTGTTATCATGGCTACTCCCAGCCACAGCTGCAACACAACGAATGCAAATGCGATGTCACCCCTGAGCACTAAAATGGAATGCCTCGTGTTCAGTAAAGGAGTCCGCACACTAATGGGAACGGAAAGGGATCGTAACCGTATCGCCTCGAGTCGTTCAGAATGGTTTGTATTTAACTCCCTACTGCAACGCACACTAATCTGAATCGTACCGTGATCGCCTCCCCTCAGAACAGGCTCCGAACTTGCAATTCCCGCGCTTACGGCTCCTTACGTCTCTCCGTCCCCTGTCCCCTCCTGCGACTTGCGTGCTAAAGAGAAAGACGCCGCCATCCTGCCATTCGCAAGGCGTATTTCATTTGTGTTGCGCGTATGTTTTATTTAAAATTTTAAGTTAGATTCAAACACAAAATAACGATGCAAAGGGAGAAACTTATTGAAGAAGTGAGAAAATATCCATATTTATATGACTTAAGTGACGCTAAATACAGTAATAGTATAAAAAAGGACGAGGCTTGGAAACAAATAAGTATTACTTTAAAGCAATCTGGTAAGTACCTACTCCTATTTAATTTTTTATCTAATGTTTTTCGCGTATGTAGGTATGTATGGGAAATAAAACAGTTGTGATTAATATAATTTATGTGATCATTATAATGTAAAATTTAGCTGTAATATCCATTAAGACATTAATATTTGAAGCTAAAAGCTACAATTCTGCCATGGTACTCGTCCGGTAGAATTTTGAAAATATGTTTTTAACATTTCACGTACATTAAAAGCAGTAGCCATACGGGCACCACTAATATTTGGTAATTGACTTAACAATCGGTCTTCGCCGAATTCAACTGTAATTTCATGTTCTGTTCAGTTCGGTTCCTGTAAATTCATCTCAATGTTATATGTCCTCATCATGTTGTGTAAAATGCAAGTTGTTAATACCACTTTATCTACAAACTTTGGATTCAATTTAATATTTTTGTTGTAAATCGCAAATTTTTGATATAAAATTCCGAAAGCGTTTTCAACAACCCTTCTAGCTCGTGATAAGCGGTAATTATATTGCCGTTCAGGATCTGATAGTCTCCGTGTATTTGAGCGAGGATATGGTCTTAATAAATATGTCTTCAATGGAAATGCCTCGTCTCCCACAAATACATGTGGCATTGCATGATAAGTACCTGGTAATGGTTTGTCACATGGGTCACACAATATTTAATGTGTTTCTTTCAAGTGCCTTTCCAAATGTAGATGACGAATAGATTCCGCCATCGCTGTTTTTTCCATAGGCTCCGACATCAACCGCTATGAATCTGTATTCAGGATCAACTATAGCTAACAAAACAATAGAAAATGTTTTTTTATAGTTAAAAAACAACGATCCACTATTGGGAAGTGCAATTATATTTACATGTTTGCCGTCAATGGCGCCTATGCAATTCGGAAAGTTCCATTTATTTTTAAATTCTTCTTCGATTCCTTGCCATGCGGCTGTAGTTGGTTGAGGTATATGAATTGGCATTAATTTATTTATTGCATTGCACACATCTATTACTATCAAACGAATAGTTGATTCTCCTAAACGGAAGCTCGATGATAAATTAGTAAATGTAGATCCAGTTATGAAGTACCTGCAACAATAAATGTATATTTATATAATACGTGTATATGTTTATGTGAATGTGTGTGTGTACGTACTCCCTTTCACACATACCTACATTATGTAACTACATGCGCTTGACATAGTTAACCATGATTTATTTTATTTCAGAATCTGAATGCAAGAAAACTTGGTTAAATCTTAGAGAGTCTCACCGACGAGCTATGAAGAAGCGTAAAACTAAGAGTGGTCAGGCAGCCCCGACGACGAAAAAGTGGACCTTTGAAGATGAAATGAGTTTTTTAGTACCTCATTACAAAGAAAGAAATACGATCTCTTCGGTTGATTATGATGACGATTCAGATGTTAGCTTGGGTAATGATGATTCACAGAACTCAATAAACATAATTCAGTCTCCAGAAAACTCACAACCGGAAACTTCTGCACTTTCGCCGCGTCCTAAGTCTTCTGCATCTTCAGTTACATCCAAAACTTCAAAAAAAAAAGTTGAAAGCAATTCAGCGTCACAAACTTTAATGAAATATTTATTAAATCACAACGAAACCAAAAAAGAAGATGAGATAGAAATATTTTTTAACAGCATTGCGGCAACGGTTAAAAAACTTTCTGAATATAACCAAGCGGTTATAAAAAGTAAAATATATAACGCAGTTTCGGAAATGGAGTTAAAAGAAATCGCAGATAAACAAAGCTATTACAGTTATCGCAACCCTTACATTCCCCAAAGAGAAGATGACATGCCTCGAGGTTATACCACTCTAAATAACATTAGCCACGAGATACAATCAACATCTGGCGCTTCAAACATTGATGATTTTAATATGTCAAACTTAGAAGAAAATGGCACGTCAAATGCTGACGATCTTAATACTTCAAACATTCTTTAATTTATACAATGATTGTATTTTTGTTGTAGCGCTATTTTTGTTAAATTGACCATAATTTTTTGATTTTATGATATCTTTTAGAATGATAAAAAAATATGTGATTTATGAGTATTTTTTTTTACCTAAACTAAAAAAAAGTTGCAGTTACTAACCCATACGTTTTGAATATTGTAAAATAGTTGATATAATTTTGGTGTACAATAAAGTATATTCTATTCTATTCTATTCTTACGCACACACACAAAATATACACACACACATCAGACATAACACGTACACCCGGACCTGATCGTTAATGAGGGTTGCGTTCCAAAACAAATAATTTTATCGACAGAGGGTAAAAATTAATCTATCTCGGGGTTTCGGAACCGAGTTTTATTTTGTACACTACAGACGCCAGCACATCAACCTACTACAATCTCTCAAAAAAATTTTTTAATAGATTTTCAACTTTATCGCTAAAGCATTAGGTTCAAAGTTGATTGGGAAAAGCTGGCGTCTGTACAAATATTTTTGTAGACCAGATTAAAAATTCCAAAAACAAATGCAATTTCTCACCTTAACGTTACAGCTAGTTTTTCTTCGGGCGATATTGTTTCTCTGAATGTTGTATTCTTCTTCCTTATACATTCATCTATAGACTGCAATATGTTATAAAAGAGGAATTTCGGCATAAGAAAATAAATATAAAATTTCTCTTCATCATCCATCAAATGTTTTTTTATAGTCCGAAATTCCCCTTCAGTACTCCTTGCTTTATTCATATTGTGTACCCAATATCTTTTCCTTTTTTCTTGCTATTTTCTTTTTCCTCTTCATCAAGTACTATGGCTATGATAGCCAACTCACGTATTGTAAACCAAGACATAACCGTGCGCTACACTTAACGTTTGGATTCAAACTGATCTGGTGCCAACCAGGTCAGCCAGCGGGCGGCGAGGCGTAAGCGCGGTGTCGCCTAGCCGTAGCCGAGTTGACGTACAGGCGCTGCTGATACGCTTTCGTTACGTGCATACGGTAGGTTGACGCCTGGTTGACAGCGAGGTGAAAGGCGATACGGTTACGATCCCTTTCCGTTCCCATTAGTGTGCGGACTCCTTAAAAGGGTCTACGGTTCTCCACACCAACCGAGTGTAGTAGAGAGAACAGAGTTCATTTGGCACAATCCTGATATGGGTTGTAGACCAAGAGCTAAGCTAAGTTAGTTTAGCTTAGCTCGCATAGCTGACGCAGTTTTCTATACTTGTGTGCAGACCGCAAACTATGTGAGCTAACTAAAATATGCGAAGCTAAGTTAGTTGTGTATGCCGACGCGCAGCTACACGAGCTAAGCTAAGCTCCTCCCGCTACCCCGCACACACTGCACATCCTTCGCCAGTGCTGTCCAGTGTTCTTTGTTGTACGCACGGTCGTTTAGTAGCGATTATGGAGCAATTTATTGAAACTGTTGAACAATTTTCTACACTATGGAACACCCAATCGAAGGATTATCACAACTTAATTTAAAAAGGATGTATGGAAAAGAATAGTGGAGGAAATAAGTAATCCAGACATACCAGACGGTAAGTATAATTAATATTTATTTAAAGTTTAATCTAATTTATATTATTAAAATAATTACAAAAGGATTCTCTGACACAAAATGCTTCTCTAGTTACTCGTAAGTTGTATTGTACCGATCTTAAAGTTTGCTGTTCTTCAATATTGACGGTATTACTAGTTGTCGTTCTTGAAGAAATTAAATAATTGTGCAAGATGCAGGTAGTCTTTGTAATGACGTCCACTTGTTCTAATTGACATTCGAATGGTCGACGAAACACACGAAATCGCGCTGACAATGTACCGAACGCATTTTCTACTACATTTCGTGCTCTACTAAGACGATAGTTAAAGGTGTTTTTTGCTTTGTTATCTAAACATGTACTCCGTGGGTACGGTCTCATAAAGTGTTTTTGTTATGGGAACGCTTGATCACCTATAAACACAAAAGGTGTTGGATCGCCATCAGGCGTTAAAGGTTTATGATTAGGTAAGTTTAGTTGCCCGTTTTGTAATTTGTAGCCAAATGCGCTATCTGCAAAAATACCTCCGTCGCTAAATCGGCCCATTGAACCGCCTGCGAGAAGTACGACAGAATAAAAATTTTTATAATTAAAATAATTAGAACCCGACTGTGGAGGGCATTTTGTTGAGATATGCTTCCCATCCGCGGCACCAAGGCAGTTAGGAAATTGCCATTTATCATTAGTCTTCTGCAATTGCTTCCCATTCACTTTCTGCCGGTAACTTCATATATATTGGTTGCAAATGAATCCAAAGTGCATTGCACACATCTTTCACAATCAAAGAAACTGTGTTATTACCCACTCTATAATTATATCCAATTGTTCTAAAGGAGTCACCAATATTGAAACAATACTAGTTTTTACGGAATTTATCGCGTGTAT